TGTTAAATTGTGTCTAATCCATTAAGCCTCTACCACCCTATTGGTAGGTAGAATCGTTCTGTGAGTGCTCGAATGCGACCAAGTCACCATCCTCGAAGTCCCATCCACAGGATGATGAGATGTGGCAAACCAAATCTATTCTGTGGAAGGAAACTCCTCAGTACAAAACGGAGCCGGTGGCGTTTTGAGTAAAATAATGACCTTTGAGGAAGGAAATCTCACAAAAAGGTTGCAGTGTCGGGCCACTAATAGGGGGTGAAATCGGCGGTGGGCACAAGCATACACACGCAAACACGCACACAAAAGCACACTCGAAAGGCAGTACATGCAATACTAGATTCCAAAACAGAAGAAGTTACAAACCACACTTATCGTTGAACTAGAACCAGGCAAGTTCCCTAGTTTGACCTAATTTCATATCCAAGCACTCATCTGCCAGCGATAGGCTACCAAACCACAGTAGTGACTCTAGAGCAACAAGGCCAGATGGAATTGATAGGGCAACAGCGGTCGCAACAAAATTGTAAATGCGGACTCTATTAAAATTGAAAGAAGAAGCAAAGCAAACCGCCAGTGGAGCTCTTGAACAAAGACTCCCGTCCTTCCCCTTTGACTGAATGAAGGACACGTCCGGACGAGTCGTCTGAACTTACTCGCAACATGGCTCGACTAACCCACGCGTATTTGATTAGCCGCTAATCCACGTTGGGTGTCATGCGTTGTACGCGAGGTATCACGTTCATTAGCTCACACAAGTCGTCTTAGCTTACCTGGTAAGGGCCTAGCACCATTGCAGCGCACTTCGAGCTGCGACAAGGGCATATCTGGGACATTCCTTGACTGCCCTATCCCAGCCATAGAGTAGATCCTTCGGTACGACCTCATTTGGGATTGTTGCTCTAATGACGGTTTTGCCCTTTCTACGCGAACGCAAGCACGAGGGCAGCCGCTGACCAAATTTCCCACATTTTTTGGAATTCAGAAAGTATGGCACTGACAGCCTTGCATAGAGTGAGACCATCAAAAAGCAATCCCAAAATATTTCCTTCTGCGTTTCGCTGACGTCGAATGCCGTCTGTAGGCGTCACTAAGGTTCTTACTCTTCAAAGTCCGCTATTCCTGTCAAATCCATAATCCAACACGCTCGCTACGCTGGATTGCTAATGTTTGTTGGCATGATCGCAATACGTACGTCATTACAAACTCCCAACTAAATCACTCAGCTAAATTTAAACATTTATTAAAAAAAACTTGAAAAAGTGGTAAGATGTTCACTGAGGTGGCATGGTTCTGAAACTTTGATTTAACTAGGAATTTATGCGTGTGCTTCAAGAGGGCACAAAAACGCTGTGGTAGATCATGGATGGACATGAATGATACCGCCTGGTGGCAGCTTTAATAGATTGCAGTAAGGAAGACTCCAACTGCCCTCTTCGTAGAGCCTCGGCATTGTTGTAATTATAGTGTTATCTTCTGCTAACCAGGTTGTTTTATTAGTGGCCTGACGTTTCGACGTGATCGTCTCCCTCAGAGGCCCAGTCAGAGTAGGACAGAGTCACTGGTTAGTAACATACTAAACATAACTAACCTGGAGTGGCGCTGTCTACTCTTGCGGTGGTGGACTGGGCCTTTGAGGAAGACGATCTCGTCGAAACGTCAGGCCACTAATAAAACGTCCACCTAAGAACCTCGTTAGCAGAAGAATAAAATTGTAGTTGCAGTGAGGGTGCTCGGCTGCTCAAATTTGTGACTGCTAGCTTTCTATTTTGAATACTTTTTGGTGGCTGATGGTCTTTGAAAGCACGCCAACTCATTTTCTGAAAATCACATTGGAATTCGTCGTGGAATATCCGACAGCTCATTGCCAGCTCCTCTTCACTTCGGATAATGACTGATCATTTATTCACGAATGTCATGATCTTGGGTGGACCGTTCATATCCCCCTCCAAATTTTGAAATTCCAAAGAACCCCTGGAAGTTGTCCTATTACCGTAAACGCTAAAAAGCCATGAAAGCTTGCCCATTCATTTTTGGCAATATTCCCCATTTTCCATTGAAAGTACAGTCGCGTTTCTTATTGGACAGCTCTATCTTACAATAAATGGAGTCAAACTGAGTGTCAGCAGGACGGATCGTGCTTCCGAAGAGTATAGAAAATCACCAAAAATTGTCGAACATTAGAATATACGGCCATACTTTTTAAGGCCGTGGACTTAGGCTATGCATCTGGAGATGCATAGGGCTTCGCCATTTTCAAGAACTCTCAAAACTACTCGTCGATGATCCTCTAGAAGCGGCGCTTCGCACAATCACGGGTTTTCTGATTGTAGAGGTTCTCTTACGATCAGAAAAACCCGTAATTGTGCGAAATATCTCTAAAGTGTGCCTAGACAACTGTGAGGAGTTACAGATGAGCAAATAAGAGATACTAGTCGACGCTTCGCTAATTTATATCTATTTTATTATCCGTGCGGAATCCGCGGCTAGGCCGAGCTAGATCTTTTGATCTGATCGCGCGAAACGCGAGCGTCACTTACTCGTTATCCGAGACCGGCAGTAAAAATACCCTCTCAAGTGTATTCCCGCCCCTGAAATCCTGCTTTTCCCGCTCGGATCTCTGCAACTATGTCATGGCGGGCATGATTATACTTAATCACGACTTTAAGACTTATAAGCAGTTTTGCGAAGCGTGTTGTCGTAAACTTCCTTCACGAGTAATTTATGAACAACATGTCGAACAAAGTTGGTGCATTTTGGGCACCAACTATGTGCAACAGTTGATCTTGAATTTCATTCTAATTTGCGGATTCTACGATGCGATTCTATGATTCCACTATCTTCACCTTCAATGTAGGCCCGCTGGAAACGAAGGTGGAGGTAGTCAGTGATGCAGAGATGAAGAAAAAACCAACAAAAACTGCACAACAAACGGACATGCGAATCCTATCCTCTGTTGATTTTCAGATAAGGGCGACCCCCATCGGTGCTGACGTCGTCAAAGTTAGAGCTCTGCTCTACTTCGCTAAATAGCTAAGGCTTGACAGCAAGGGATTACCCAATTGGGGGGCGTACAGAGCCGCCAGCGCCGCCAATGCAGCCCTGGTTTTCCGCTAAGGGCGTGCTCTTCGCTGCTCAACA